TGCCATAGGTGTAAGGCATCGGGTTGCAGGGATTAAAAAATAAGAACTCAGTTACTTTTTTTGAAATAGCGGATATGCATTATGAAAAATTAAAGGTTTAAATTTTTAGAGTTTTATGACATGATTATGACAAAAGAGAATTTGATCGACTGCAAGGATGGAAAAACCGTAAAAAAGGGCGATTATGTATTTTTTGTCGCATTGAATTATTACTTCCGTATCTGTATCCGGTTTTACATCTGTCAACTAGTCCATTCCAAAACTATAAAGAAACTATTTCATTAGTTCATTAGTTCACTAGTTCACTAGTTCACTAGTTCACTAGTTCATTAGTTCACTAGTTCACTAGTTAACTAGTTCACTAGTTCACTAGTTCATTAGTTTATTAGTTCACTAGTTCACTTGTTCACTAGTTCACTAGTTCACTAGTTCATGAGTTCATTAGTTCATTAGTTCATTAGCTCACTAGTGCATTATTGTTCATTAGTTCACTAGTTAACAAGTTCACTAGTTCACAAGTTCATTAGTTCATTAGTTCATCAGTTCATTAGTTCATTAGTTCACTAGTTCACTAGTTCACTAGTTCACTAGTTCACTAGTTCACTATTTCACTAGTTCACTAGTTCACTAGTTCATTAGCTCAATAGTTCAGTAGTTCATTAGTTCAGTAGTTCACTAGTTCACTAGTTCACTAGTTCACAAGTTCACAAGTTCATTAGTTCATCAGTTCAATAGTATATTAGTTCATTAGTTCATTAGTTCATTAGTTCATTAGTTCATTAGTTCATTAGTTCATTAGTTCATTAGTTCATTAGTTCATTAGTTCATTAGTTCACTAGTTCACTAGTTCATTAGTTCATTAGTGCATTAGTGCATTAGTGCATTAGTTCATTAGTTCATTTGTTCATTAGTTCATCCTTTCATTAGTTCATTAGTTCATCAGTTCATTAGTTTAAAAAGTTTACGAGTGTTAAACATTTTATGGAGTACGAATTATTATTAACTATGGAATTGAGTTTTTGTCACAAATCCTCGATTCTCAACGTCTTATAACTTTGCAACCCGATGAAGTAGACTTTTAGTATTTCAATTTGTAAATTCTGTTAGATTCATGAGTCAAAGTTTGAAATATCAAAGGTTTACACCAAATTAGGTTAAAGCAAACATGAGTTCTTGCCGCAAACTATTTCTAACTATAATTCTGTTACATCAAATCGTCTAAGTTGGAAATATCAAAGGTTTACACACTAAGCTATTAAGATTAGAAAACTTAAGTTTGTTGCAAAAACTCAAATCCTTTAAGTCTTGAGCCAAATAATACATTTCTTTCACACAACTATAAAAACAGAATCTAATCCATTTAAATTTCAAAAATTGCTCCGTGCCCAGAATTAATTCTTTTCAAAATTACTAAATTCAACCAAATAAAGGAATTGATTATTCAATACAAATCCTTATATTTTCAGATCCTGATATTTTTTCAATCTGACGTCATAGACTTTTTAATATTTCATCTCAGGATTCTGTTAGAACAAAAAGATGAAGTTTAAATGACGTATTTGCATATCCTTTGATATTTCAGTTTAAAAATCCTGCTGGAGCTCAATTAATATATACTTTATAGCATTTTTTTTATCTTGCATTAAAGCTGGTAAAGTAGAAGACAAAGTAAATTGTTTGACTTGATTTTAGTTGAGAATAAATAAAACCGATTCTGAAAACGTATCCACCCCCAAAGTAAGCGTTTTGAACGTCTAATTTGCGCTCAAACTCAGGATTTACAGATCTTTATAAAGTTTTACATGTCTCAAATGAATCCGAAAGAAGCTTTCAACAACACTGCATACTCAGTTCAACTATCTTACATAGCCGGTCACTCCCTTTAAGATTTTAGTTGAGAATAAATAAGCAGTGAATTCAGATATTTTAAAGAGATTTGTTTAAAAGTTAAAAGTTGCTGATCCTAAATCTTTCCAACAAACTTTAGAAGATTTAACTTTTTATTCAGATCCGTCGTTTTCTTTTTATGTACATCTATCCATCTATCCTTCATAACTCTCTATAGATCCCTTATGTATGTTAGTATATTTGTATCCTAAAAACGGCAATACGGCTAAACCTATTCGACCCACCATGTGGACGGCCGGTCAGCTAGTATTAAAATTTTGAAAATGCCGCGAAAAAAGCAATTTAAAAATGTTTTAAAATCTGCCAATGAAAACAGAAAAATCTACGAAATCTGTTTCCCTCTTTTCTTTCTATTCTAACTTTATGATATCTCCACTTCTATTCCCTAGCAGTTGAAAGTATGGTTTCTCACGAATTAGAATAAAAAGAATGTATATAGAGAAGCCAAATAAATTTATCTTATACCAAGCAGTTGAAGTTAAAACTTTTGCGTGAATCAACCTTCGTAAATTATTAACTTAGCTTGTATTCTTACCATGTCTGCCTTCAACAGTTTTAAGAGCTCTGCCACTATTGTTTAAAAGTTACCCCCCCCCCCCCATCCGACAGGTGTATGGGTTAAGATATTGCCTCCGAAACGTGTATACTAGATTTAGCGTTCGCCACCGAGGTATCAGCCTTTGCCTCTTATGGTGTTGGTTTAGCGCATGCTTATGAAAAATCTATGATCAGTCCTAGCCTCCGAAAAGTGAAGGGTAAGCCTTCTTCATGAGATGATTATATTTATTTTTCACCTCCGATAGTTTTAGATTTTTTCCTCGTCTTTATAAGGCTGTTATCTATTCCGTGCCTCCGATAACCTTTTATTTATTATTTGCCTCCGAGAGTTTTGGAATTTTGCCCTGCCTCCGAGAACTTTGGATTTATTCCCTGCCTCCGAGAGTTTTGGATTTTTTCCCTGCCTTCGAGAGTTTTGGATTTAGTACCTGCCTTCGAGAGGTGTATATAATCCCTTTAAAGCCCCAGGAGGAAGTGGGAAGATGAAAAGTTAGTTCTAGAGTTAGACAAATTAAAATGATAAAAAGAAATTTAATTTAACTGAAAAGTTTTCCCGTGCTCTCTCCCAGGAATAGAGAGAGGAAACTGAAGCTCTGAACTCAACTGCACGTTTAAAAAAAATCAATTAAAAGTAAACCCATTTTAGAGTCGAATATATTTTTTTTTTTATAAAGAATGTAATCATGATAAGAAAATAATTTTACCAACCTCATGATGTTCTGAAATTCTTCAAAAACAACGATCTGAGCGGTGAATTGGTAATTTTAACTTGTAAATAGTTTTTAAAATAATACCTGAATAATTTGAACTAACTAACTTAAACTAATTGAATAATTTCTGTACAGCCGGATATGAAGTAATATTTTGTTGGATTACCCTGTATAAAGATAAATTCAAGATTTATTTTTTGAAATCAGATTTGTACAACCTCGAAAATCGCAAAGCAAAATTTATTTCTCAATAAATCCTATTCCTACTCCCCTCACACACAGAAAAGGGCCTAGGGGGGGGCCTAGGCCCTTTTCTGCCCATTTTCGCCCCTTCACATAGTTTGTTTGCTTGAAGTCTAAAGTTTGCTCTGAGAAGATTTGTGAAAATATTTACTAAAACTCAACCGAGCAATCAGAAAATCTTTTCAATTGAATCCAAACCATCCATAGATCCTATACACAACATTAATCTTTCTTTCTACCACCTTCAATCTACAATTATTCTCCTTTATCCAAGAAATTTGTTTTCAACTTTTCTACCTTTATAATACCAACATCTCATTTTACAGATTTCTTCTTATTTTCTTTAAACATCATTTTGAGCTAAAATTCATCTTTTTTTGGAAAAGAAATTAAATTTTGGTAAACGGTTTTGATCCTAGTTTCCATTCCTCCGACAATTTTCTTTAATATTCATTTGGATTTTAATGAAGAGGACAAACAAAAAAGTTCTAACATGCATGGTTCTTTGCATCAGCTTAAACTTGTTTCTATTTTTATAAAAATCAGCAGCAGCAAGTGTCTCACGTGTGTGGGAAACCCTGTGCATAATTGTTTTCTTTCTTTAATTTGTAAATATGCTTTGCTTTTCTGTTTGTTAATTTGCATCCAATAAACGTCCGAACAGCTGAACCGATCAAGCCCATTTTTTTATGGCAACTTACAGTCTCATGACCCAAGGGAAAGTTTATTGACAATCGAATTTGAAAAGTTTAGTTGGGACAAAAAATGTCGACGCTTATTAATTTTGAAAAAGAACGAATTTAAAAAGAATAAAATACTACAGTTAGTTTTTTTGGATAAGGAAGAAAAATGGTGACTTAAAGAGCAGCACCTTAATGTTGAAATTGTTATTAGAAAAGGGGTCGTGGAGTAATTTACATAATTATGTGGAATCCTTGGCTCACCTCCGACCAATCTATTTATCCCATCTCTAAGTGTAAGTGTAAGTCTTCTCCCTAGGGTGACCAGTTCGGTCAGCCCATGGATACGTTTCGGCGGCTAGGAGTGCCGACCCCTATTTCATTGAATGATGGGTTGTCCTTAATAATAATAATAATATCCCATCTCTATCCTTACATTTTCTTTCTCTGTGTGTACTTTGCTTCTAGAATACAGGAAGTTCCGGTTTACACAGGAGTTGAGAAATTATGGTCAAAAGTCGTCTTTTATTTATGTTAATTCATGAGATTTCTAGGCCAGAACAACTGAAGTTTTAGAGATTAATATTAAGAAATTTTAATAAAATAAGCATTGAACAAAAGCTTCAAGGACTGAAACATTTAAAGAAATTACCTTTTTTTCAAAAACATTTATAGAATTTTAGCTGGAAAGAAAGATATTTAACTGAGCTTTTAGGAATACTAATCTTTAAACCTAGTAAAGCTATTTCGTCCCAAAATATTGATTGAATTCTAAAATACTTTTATAATTACTTTTATAAAAACTAAAGTTCTTTGGACAACTTCTCAATAAGCTGAAAATTTGTCGTGGAAAAGAACAAATTTTAAGTAAAAAAAAATAATTATGATATGTTTTTTTTAGGTTTAAAGTTTGTCTGACGCTATGTTAATGACGCAATGACGCCCCCCTAGAAGAATGCTACGGTTAACCCTATTACTGATGTGGGTGGGGGTGGAGGTGAACGGACATGGAAGGTTAATAGAACCCCCCTCCAGATCAACAATGTGGAGATATGGGTTTGATTCTCCGGCAAACTATAACGATCACGAGCTATACTGTGGAGGTAAATATTAGGTGTTTTTTTTTGGGGGGGGGAAGGGGTTAATTTTTTTTTTTTTTTTTTTGGGGGGTAGGGGTTAATATTTTTTGTGTTTTACATGTTAATCCTTAAAAAACTCCGATAGTTTATTTATCTTTGCAGCCTAACGTTGTTCAAACTATTTGATTTTGCTTTTGAACTGAAGAATAATTTTTAAAGCAATAATCATAAAATAACCTTTTTTTTTGTTTAATAAAACCAAATTGTCTTAAGATCCAATTCTTTATATTTGTTTAAGGATTAGAACAATGTTTTGTATAGCGTTGTCATTTAGATAAAAGTGGTCTATTAATGAATAGGTATTTAGGAAACTCTGAAATATTTTCTCTTGAATGTTTGAATTCAGTCTTATGTTATCTATTTTTTTACAAATTTTTATTTCTAAGTTAAAATTTTGATCAACATACAAGTGAGATTGAAAAGGATGGAGAGGATATAAACCACCAGTTATAAATTTTGAATTTAAATTTAAGTTTTAGGATTCTGGAAATTTTAATAAGTTGAAAAGCCGGAGAAGAATTGAATCTAAAATATGAATGTTCAGGGTACACGAGACAGTGGCAGACTAACGGGGGAAAATGTGGGATCTGTGGCGACCCTTGGGACTCACCACAGGTTAAAGACCAGGGGGGAGATGAGCATCGTTCTCGTCATCAAAACAAATTTTTCTGAATGAACTAAATTGTTCGTGACCAATGGTGTCAAAACTAACGAACAATGAAGGAACGAAGAGATCGTTTCAGAGAAATTCAAGATATCAAAAAAACTAACGATTCAAAATTGGTAAAGATCCTTCGCGTAATGGACGTAATGATTGAACGAACGAACCGAAAAAAACGAACGCGCCAATATGAAGGGGAGGGTAGAGAAATATACAAAATCTAGTTGTTATATAGATTTGCATTTTAACCTAAGATTACCCGATGTCCCATACAATTTTTATCTACGTTATATTTTGATTATATTTTGATTAATGGGACCAACTGAATCAACCCATTTCAAGGGTTTTGAATTTTGTCCGTTTATCAAATTCATTTTTTGCGCAGAGGAAATACATTAAATATGATTTTTGATAAAAAGATTATTTTACGGAGTGGGGTATGTGTGGGGGGGGGGATTACAAAAATTGACATTAGAGAAAAGCGGCGAGGATTTGATGAAAAATCTAAATACTGTACATTACAGTGGAACCTATAAGATTCTAGAATAGAAAGACGACATTTAAGAAATGTCATGCTCTTTTATGTTGTTATAAAACAATTCGTTTTATAGTTGCTTGAAAATCAGCCTCGTTAAGTTAATGATTTAGTGTACAGAGTGCATAATTGCTGTGTTTCAAATTAATTTCAATGTTCAAAATCATATTTGAGTCTAAAACCTTTCCTACTTCACAGTTTTATGTACAGGGTTACTTCACAGTTTTATGTACATAGTTATGTACAGGGTTACCCACATAGGATGACACATAAAATACGACTGTACGAAATTATACTAATTATCCTTATATTCATGTTTCTATGTAATTGTCAACTAATAAATAAGTTATTTAAAGTCTTTATATGAGGGAGAAGACTTAATCCAACCTTGGAATCTACATATTAACTTTCAGGTCGTCTTTTCAGTCTTATTCTTTGTGGGTAACCTTGTACTTCCAAGTTTCGTTGCAACTCTTTAAACCACGAAACCTCTCATTGTTCAAGAACCATGAAGAAACATCACGTTTCCAAAAAAACGATAATTTTTTTCTTTTAAAATAATTTTAGATTCTAACAATTGATATTTTTGGAGCAAAAATAGAAGAAAAAATTTTAACTTAAAAAAAATATCTTTAAATAATTAATTTGATAATAATTGAGTCTGTTTTGCAGCCGAGGGCAAACGAGGCAGGAGGGAAATATGGGAATGGAATAATTACAAGAAGCTACAGGAAAAATTCAAACATTAAGGTAATTTATTTATTTAAATCATAAATTGGTCTTTTTGATTTTTTTAACAGTCAGATAAATAATATAAATAATCAGAAATAGTTAGAAATAAATAATCATAAATAATCAGAGATAAATAATCAGAAATGATCATAAATAATCAGAGATAAATAATCATAAATAATCAGAGATAAATAATCATAGATAATCAGAAATAAAGAATCATAAATAATCAGAGATACATAATCAGAAATATTCAGAGATAAATAATCAAAGATTATTGACTATGAAATATTTAAATAAAGAATAATCACAAAAGCAGTAGGTGAAGGTAGGTGAAGGTAGGTGAAGGTAGGTGAAGGTAGGTGAAGGTAGGTGAAGGTAGGTGAAGGTAGGTGAAGGTAGGTGAAATCTTTAGATTCTCCTTGATCCTTCAAACTCCCATTAATCCTGGGATTTCCATTAATCTTTAGATTCTCCTTGATCCTTCAAACTCCCATTAATCCTGGGATTTCCATTAATCTTTAGATTCTCCTTGATCCTTCAAACTCCTCTGATATCCTTTAATCCTACAAATCCTTGACATCCCTTTATTCCCTTACAGCTTTCACAAACCCTTGAAGAATTTTGAGCAAGTCTTTAAAACACCTCTGTTTACCCTTCAAAACCTTTCTTTAAAAGCCTTTACATTAGAAAGGCCTCCTTAACCCCCCCCCCATACCCTGCAATTTTATGTTTGTATGGGTGTATCTACAGTATTTTTAGATAAAAGTAAATGTTGTTGCAATTACGTATAAATAACCTAAAGCTTTATAATGGAGTGTACTCTCCCAAATGTGCTTAAAGACACACGGGGGGTGTCGCTAGTAGGATATCAACTTTATCAAATATATAAATTTTTAAGTACGCACTCTACAGTTATATCTTTACAATGTGTCTGAAGAGAATAATAGGATGGAAACTTTTGGTCAAAAATATCTAAACTTTTTTATTTTTTGTTCAGTTCATTTGGAATAAATCCATACTGTAGGTTTTGGGTAAAACTTTCTAATCCCAATATCTTTCGACATTTCAAACTTTGACCAGTTGATCTAGCATAATTCATAGCTTTTAATGTCAATTAAAGGGCTGCAAGGATGCAAAGAAAATATACAAGAATAAAATATAAAAGTATGAGGATTACACAAACAATTTAAAAGTGTCTTTGATGAATATGTTCTGAAACAAAACACAATTTATAAAGATAAAAATGCAAAATATTATCTCTATACTTAGTTTGAAAGGATGAATTTAAAACTTTTTTATTCAATTACATCCAATCTGTTTTGCTGGGTATTCTTAACAAGCTCACTCTTTATTTATTTTAAAATTTTAAAAATTATTTCTAAAATATTTGCTTCAAGAATTTCAAGTTTTCTCAATTCTATTTCCTCAAGTGTATAGTATAGTGCTAAAGCAGGACATATTCTTATACACATCTATTCATTGTTCAATACAGGGTTTCCTCTAATATTCTAAATATATAATCTGTTTTGTTCAATACATGGTTTAATCTAAAATTTTAAATATATTATCTGTTTTGTTCAATACAGGGTTTCCTCTAAAATTTTAAATATATAATCTGAATTGTTCAAAACAGGGTTTCCTCTAAAATTTTAAATATACAATCGGTATTGTTGAATACAGGGTTTACTCTAATATTTTAAATATATTATCTGTATTGTTGAATACAGGGTTTACTCTAATATTTTAAATATATTATCTGTATTGTAGAACACAGGGTTTACTCCAATATTTTAAATATATTATCTGTATTGTAGAACACAGGGTTTACTCCAATATTTTAAATATATTATCAGTACTGTTCAATACATGGGTTTCATCTATTATTTTAGTATTTTAGTATACTAATTAAATCATAGTTTCGCCATTAACGCCGCTTAATTCAAAAACAAGTTTAAAGTTGAAACTTCTCGTGGTTTTTGGAACTCCCTCTGTATTATCTGTATTGTAGAACACAGGATTTACTCCAATATTTTAAATATATTATCAGTACTGTTCAATACATGGGTTTCATCTATTATTTTAGTATTTTAGTATACTAATTATATCATAGTTTCGCCATTAACGCCGCTTAATTCAAAAACAAGTTTAAAGTTGAAACTTCTCGTGGTTTTTGGAACTCCCTGTGTCTGAAGGATTGTTCATCTTCAGTCTCTGATAAGGGTTTAGTTTGTCTCCAAGTACCTCTTAATACTTGGAGAACTTTGGGCCACATTTAATAATACCGGAACCTTCCTATTAAACAACTTCTAAGGTTTTGTATGAACTTTCATATGTTTCATAATTTAACATTGTATTAACATTCATGATTCTTCGCGATTGTTAAACTTTTTAAATTTTCTACACATCAATAAAAACACAAATTAATATTAAATTTACGACAGAAAACCATATTCAACCTTCAGATCAGTGAATTGAACTAGTTGCAGGTCGTCATTAAAGACTCATTCTTTGAAAGTACTCTGCACACAATTCAAAATTACATTCAAAGTTAAAATACCGCTAAAACCATTTAATAGAAATAAGATAATGTTTCCTATACCCTCTTTCTAAAAATCAAGGAGAGTCTCTAAAACAAGATTGCTTTGTATACTCCTAGATCCAATCTAGATAAAAATTGGTTCTATATTTTACAGTGTACAGATACACCTTGTTTAAAACTATACCTTGGTATACAACTTACACCCGGTAGTGAACTATGATAGAATACAGTTCGTTTACTGGCTCAGAGCCTCAGCTTAATATTAGTTATTAATAACAGAAAACTTAATAAATCAAAATATTAAATACAATATTAAAATACAAGAATAATTTGAATAATGATTATTATAAAAAGGTGGAATAATTGTTTCGTTTTGTTCTTTGCTTCGAAGGATTTTGAATTTTTAATCATGTTAAACTGTTAGGTCCAATGTTATGTTAAAATTACATTTTAAAGTATTTTAGAAACAGAACTAAAATTATTGTACTCTTTCGCCGTGTTAAAATGGCTGAAAAATAATTACATTTTGACAGTTAAACGAATAATCTGAATTATTTGTGTTTACAGGTGAAGATTGAACTAACTGCGAACCATATGGGCCATTTTGAGTTCCGGCTGTGCCCAACAAATAGTAAAGTAAATGATGCTTCACAATCATGCCTTGATCAGTATATTCTAAGGTAATATATTTATTAAATATTTACAGTGGGAATAATTTTATCGGTGTTTTTTCTTCTCTGAAAACCATTCTTTTATAACTCAAATTTTCGCCATTATTCATTAAATCTTCCCTCCCTCCAGATTTAATTTCCTTCAAACTATTTTCATCTCCATTGTTTTCCATTCTATCCTTTCTATGATAGATCCATGGTTTCCTATCTTTTGTCTCTTTTGATAACTCCTTGCTTTCCTATCCCATTCCTCCAGTGAAAGATCCGGCTATTCCTATTCTGTCCTTTCTATGTTAGAACCATGTTTTCTCATTCTATTCCTCTTGTGATAGTTCCATAATAACTCCATGAAGCAAATATCGTAGCTGAACCTATATTTGTAAACCTTAACATACCTATATATATTACGGTGTACATTGTCTGTAAATAGCTGCGCAGGGCTTGTATTCCAATTAACCTAACATAGCTACGTTTCTTATTCTATCCCTTCTGTTTTATCTCATGGTTTCCTATCCTAACCCTCCGGTGATAGATCCATGGTTTCCTATCCTATCCCTCCTGTGATAGATCCATGGTTTCCTATACTATCCCTCCTGTGATAGATCCGTGGTTTCTAGAAGCTAAAATATTAGATACTTTAATTGTTTGATCTAATCTATAAAGTGCATTAACCGCGGGAAATTTAAATTGAGGTTTCAACTTTTCTCAAACTTCTCTCAGATATAATTACAAGTTTAATGAAATAGGTTCAAGTATTTTATTAATTAAATTCTTCCAAGTATTTCTACGTAGTGCCTACAATAGTTGCAACTAGGAAATTAATAAGTTTTCTTTAACTTAAATAAACTCAACCCAATCTAACTTTTACCCTCCGAACCCCCCACTCCATCGGAAATGATTAAGACAATTTATCTTAATAGGGAGAGTTCGCGGGAAAGTAAAAGTGGAATTGGAGGAACCATGATTTAAACTAAATAGCTAACTGTATTAAATAATCTTGTTTAAAAATCTTCCTTCATAAAACTTTTTTGTCTGAGTTACAGTCGGATAATAGTGCAAGTATAATTCTAATTCAGTCATAGTTAATGTTGCCCATCCTGTACTCCTTGCTTCTTACGGAAACATTCACTTCATTCACTTCTTTTCTTTCTTTAAGTCATTCTTTATCCTCTATATTTAGCCTCTATATTTATTTTCTATATAGCTTCTATATTTATCTTCTGTATTTATCTTCTCTAAATTTATCTTCTATTTTTATCTTCTATATTCATTTTCTGTATTTATCTTCTAAATTTATCTTCTATATTTATGTTCTAGAGATTTATCATCTATATAAATCTTATTCAACTTCCCCCCCCCTCTCCATCTTCATTCCTTCTCTAAAATTTACTTCTTTGTTAAATTTTCTTTTCTTTTCCTGTTCTTTCCCCTTTTCCTTTTCCACTTCCTTTTTTCCTTATTGACTTCTCCTATTTTTTCCCACATTTCCTTATTCTCTACCTATTTTTTTTCTCTTATCAATTTTCTCATTTCGTTTCCTTATTCTTCTGTAACATATTTTTTTTTATTTTTATGAATAAATATTTCCACATTTTCTTCTTTTTATGCTTCTATTTACATCGATTTAAAAAATTTTCCTTTCTTTTTATTGGGATTTTTATTTTGAATTATGTCCACAACACGTTTAGTCGTTTAAATCCTCCCACGGTAGTTTAAAATAAGTCGCCAAAAATAGCCACCCCTTTCTTTGAACCATTTCCTAATTAACTTTTTGGTGGATTTCTCAATATATCTCCATAATTAAACTAAATCATTAAATTTCATGGCGCTCCTATTTCAATTGTGAACATTTTTTCCTTGTGTTCAACGTAAAACAAAAACAAAAACTCCCCGGATTTTATAAAAAAAATTTCGTGGATTTTCAAAATTTTCCCTTTCTTCTTTTGTTCCAACTACCCTTTAATTATTCCTTCCCTGTTATCCTTCCAAACCTATACAATATAACAAACCCTGCCTTCTTCTGTTCCAACTACCCCTTAATTATTCCTTCCCTGTTATCCTTCCAAACCTATACAATATAACAAACCCTGCCTTCTTCTGTTACAACTACCCCTTAATTATTCCTTCCCTGTTATCCTTCCAAACCTATACAATATAACAAACCCTGCAAGCCAAAAATTATGTCTGTACAAAAACAGGAAGACAATACAGCCGGGTTTTTGTCCCACGGAGTGAGGATGGATTTGACAAGTTGACAAAATAAATAATAATAATTCAAGTAAGAACATGAATTACGATTATTTTCCTATTTCCCAGTAAATTTTACCCAAATCAGAAGGTATAAAATTTGAAATTTAAAGATAACATTTTCTAAACTTAGAAAACATTTTGCTTGGAATTTCATGTTTTTGCATTGGAAATGAGATTTGTTAGATGAACCTGACCCCATATCGTGTTTTAGCCATAGTGCTCTTTATAAATATCTTAAATTAGATACCAGGTATATAAAATATAAAACTAATACTGCAGGGATATCAAAATATAAAACTAATTTTGCAGGGATATAAAATATAAAACTAATACTGCAGGGATATAAAATATAAAACTAATGCTGCAGGGATATAAATTATAAAACTAATTTTGCAGAGATATAAAATAAAAAAAACTAATTTTGCAGGGATATAAAATATAAAACTAATACTGCAGGGATATAAAATATAAAACTTATTTCTGCAGGGATATAAAATATAAAACTAATACTGCAGGGATATAAAATATAAAACTAATACTGCAGGGATATAAATTATAAAACTAATTTTGCAGGGATATAAAATAAAAAAAACTAATTTTGCAGGGATATAAAATATAAAACTTATTTCTGCAGGGATATAAAATATAAAACTAATACTGCAAGAATATAAAATATAAAACAAATACTGCAGGAATTTAAAATAAAGTGAAACTAATACTGCACTCTAAATTAAAAAGTCGCTTATATTCAACTAAAAAATCGGATATTTAAACAAACGCTAATTTTTTATAAATAATCGCATAAATTCACCTAAAAATAGCCTGTTTTCAAAAACATAATTTTTAGAGGCATATACAGGGGGGAATGGCTAAAAGGGCTCCGTGCCCCCCTTGGATCAGTGAAGTCCATGGTTTTCATGTGATATGAAGGCTTTATTATATACAAGAAGGGGAAGGGAAGGGAAAAGAGGAAAAGGGAAGGAAAGGGAATGAAAGGGAATGGTGAAAGTGAAAGAAAAGAGGATTAGAGAAAGGGATGGGTCAGGAAAGGGTGGAAGGGAAAGGGGATATATAGAGCTAAAGTAATGGGATGATGAATGGGAAAGAGAAAGGGGACATTTATTGGGGAAGGGAAAGGGGAAAGGGGAGGAAAAGGGAAAAGTTGAAAGTGCATGCAGGGATATAAAATAAAATAAAACTAATGCTGCAGGAATATAAAATATAAATACTATGTTCTAGGCGAGTGTCTGGAGGACCAGATTACTACCCTGGACCTGGGAATAGAATATTCGAGATCATTTATCAACTTCCAAAGGAAAACATTTGGTTTAACATTTATTAATGTCCAGATCCGGGACAAAGTGTCACACGCAAATCTAACAAGATCTAAGTATGCCCGAAACCAGGACAAACTGTAAAATTAGAAACTTACTAGATCTAAGTGTGTCCAGATTGAAGAATATCTGCCACACGCTAAAAAAACTAGATGTAAGTATGTCCTGTTTAGGAAGAACTGTCACACGCGAATCTAACTAGATCTGAGTATGTCCGGATTCAAGACAAACCGTCACAAAACTCTATATAATTCTACTTCGAAACAAATTTTAACCTCGCATTAATAAATTTTTAACTCAAATCCAACGATTTCATAGAAATGAAAGTTTCATTGCAAATTCGTTGAAGAAAGAAAGACATGGTTTAAGAATTTGTATATAAGAGAAGACCCTATTTTAACATTTTACCTAAAGTGCTATATTTTATAAATTCATTCGGCTGATTTAATTTAATTAAAGGAATGGCCCATTATTTTAATCACTGTCGATTAAATTAGGTAATTAGATGAAATTTTCAAAGGTTTTAGAAATTAAATTCTATGCCGAGGCCTGGGACCAAAATATTTCATTCATTAAAATGATAATATATATTCTTTTTATACAGAAATGATATTTCTAAATGTTGCGTAATCAGGATTTGACGTGTACGCAATGCGTATTTCAGTGGAGGTACATAGCTGGCAATAACTGGGGTAAGTCTTTCAATTATCAAAAATGAATTTTTAAATCAATTCTAAATTAGTTTTTTTAATAAGCATAATTTGCATATTCATAACAGATTCAGAAAACTGTGAAATAGGAAGACGACAGAATCAATTATTTCAAATATTCTAATGAACATAATACACAATCAAGACCCCTATGATCCTATCACTTAATAAGTTTATATTTATTTTAAAGACGACATATCTGAACTTTGTAAATATCACGGTCAACAAATTCATTCACATTTAACGTAATCCTGTTCCATGTTAATTGACTAGGTGGCAAAGAAATATTTATATGTAAAGTCGTCTTTGAAATTTTATTCTTTGAGGGAAACCCATGTTACACTTAAAACCAATTTGAAAGTAGTTTAGCGGGTTTCTCCGGTATATTCTTATATCAAGACTAGGGAAGTTAGATTAAACTAAACCTATATATATATATATATATATATATTATATACTGCAGTATTCAGACTTCAAGTTCAAACATGATTTTAACATAATCCATTCCTTCTTCTTCTTATTCCATCCATTCATACTACCTTCCTCTTCCATTTATTCGTTCTTCTTTTCTGTTCCATTCATCCTTTCTTCCTCTTTCATTCATTCTTCTTTTATCAATTCTTTCTACCTTCCTCTTCCATCCATCCTTTCTTCTTTTCTCTTTCATTCATCCTTTCTTTCTCTTCCATTCATTCTTCATTCCCATTCCATTCATCCATGCATCCTTCTGTTTTCTTTTATTCATTTTTCTGCACTTAATTTGTTAATTTTTTATCCTACAATTCATTCTTAGTTTCTTATAATCTTCCACTCATTCTTCTTTCTTATTCCATTCATTATTCCTTCTTTTCTCTTTTATTAATTTTTCTGTTCTTCTACTTATATTTATCAATTCTCATTCATGTTTTCATTTTTCCTCTTGTCATTCCTTCTACTTCCATTCATTTTTATGTTCATATACTTATATTCATCAATTCTCATTCATGCTTTCATTCTTCGTCTTTTCATTCCTTCTACTTCCATTCATTCTTATGTTCTTCTACTTATATTCATCCTTTCTCATTCATTCTTTCATTCTTCCTCTTTTCATTCCTTCTACTTCCATTCATTCTCCTGTTCTTCTACTTATATTCATCAATTTTCATTCATGCTTTCATTCTTCCTCTTGTCATTCCTTCTACATCCATTCATTCTTATGTTCTTCTACTTACATTCATCAATTCTCATTCATGTTTTCATTTTTCCTCTTGTCATTCCTTCTACTTCCATCATTTTTTTCTTCCTTCTTCTTAAAATTCTTTCCATTTCTTTTCTTTCATTCTTCAATTTTCATTTCTTCTACCTAAATTCATTTTTCTTTTCTTCTATTTATGTTTATCAATTTCCATTCGTTCTTCCTTTTTCCCTTTTTCATTCATTACTTCTTTCTTTCTCTTCCTGCCATTCATTACTTCTACTTTTATTAATTTTTCCTTCCTTCTACTTGCTTTCCATTTTCTTACGTTCAACTTTCATTCTTAGTTTCTTCTACTTTTCTTCTTTAATTTCCATTAATTCTTCTTTTTGTTCCAGGACTTTGTAGAAACGGAACAGGAGCTGTTGGCTGCGGACCCCAGGAGGAGTTTAGAGCTTGTGCTGATATATCTATAACAGAACAGGACGGAACAGCAGACTCTACTCCGCTGGAACAGGATACAGACCAGGTCCAGCTGGACTGGAACAAGGAACAGGAACAGGAGCAGGAGAAGGAACAGGAGAAGGAACAGGAGGAGGAACAGGAGGAGGAGGAGGTTAACAACCAGAACCTCATAATCATTATCCTCTCTACCCTACTCTCCGCCTGCATCATGTTCTGTGCTGTCTTCTTCTATTATTACAAAGCTAAATCTTATCTCACGGAGTTCATTGAAGACAAGGGATTAGAGATTCCAGGTTTACCAAAACTGAAAAAGATGCCTAGCATGCCAAGTATGTCAAGTATGCCGGGTATGCCGAGCATGCCTCGTATCCCAAACAAGCCAAAATTTCTTCGTTGGCCAAAAATATCTGAAATAAATGGACAAAAGCTACGGGGTCTTTGTAAACTAGACACATTTGATAAATTAAACTGGCCGCTGTCCAACATATCTCTAGGCGATAAATTACCGTCGTTTAAACAATCAGCATCGACGGTTGGATCAATACCCGCCGCAGCAGCTACGGCACCGGTACCACCGCCGAGAACTAAACGACCAAAGTCCCGCCCCCCTAGTCCAGGGTCAGTGCAACCACGCCTTGCAACGATACTACCACGACCCCATCCACGCCCCCCGGCCCCACCACCCTCACGCCCATCAGTGCCCGCCGTCCTAGAAATAAGTTCACCCACAGGAGTTACAATTAACGGCGTGACGGTGCAAAAACCATCGCCGATGTCTAACACAGCGGCGGGACCTAGTGAAGTCCCTGG